TGGAATTACATTGAGAAGAAAACAGAGACAGAACAGAAACCCAGACAAGTATGGTTTATAAGTGTCTTGCAGGTGGCTGATGGCATTCATTCATCTGTGGGAAGAATTCAGAGTAGAGTTCCATGGTCCACTTGCTTCTTTTCCTAGCGTTGTCAGTGGCATACTGAAAATCCTGCTATTTGTCTCTCGAGTTATCAGGGAGATGGACTGACCACTGGATCTGTTTGTGTTGTTGTCCACATCATTCTAGAAAGAAAGCCAAGAAATGCAGTTGATGGCTGGTTACTCTAGTGTCCCTGGCATGACCGGGACTCTGCTAATAAAACAGGAGGGAGGATTCATTTTCAATGTTCGCTAAACATACCTTTAACAATAACTGTATCTACCCTGAACAGACACGGATCCCCGTTAAGAATGGAAAGAAAAGGATTTTGCATATTGAGGTTTTCCCATTGTATTTACTGCATCCAGAGTTCCACTTGCCTAGTGTGCTCTTGATCTCCACGACGGCTTTCCATTCAGGGCCACTACTCATAAAGTCTTTTGGTAACTATGGAGTAAGTGTTCCTGAACCCTAGAATCAAGTTTTGTGGCTGTGGGGTGGGGTACCAGGAGGATGAAGTGGGAGACAGCTACTTCAGGTCACTTTTACATGTAACTGTTCTAAAAGTGTCCATTTCGTTAGCTCAGATGTCTTCCCTGTCATGCGAGCTTCCTTGATCTCACCCCAATTGGAATTAGTAATATCTTCCTTCAATTCCCACAGTATTTTTTATGATAGCCTTTGGAGTTATAATTCACATACTATGTAAGTTACAGTTTAATTATGACATTCAGTCTAGTTTTTGTATAACCAGAGTTGTGCAAAATCACAGGGACAAATTTTAAATATTTTCTTCATCTCAAAAAATCCTCACAGTCCCACATTTACATCAACCATTAGTATAGTTTTGTATGGCGTGTCCCTTTTGGACATGTCATATGAGTAAATGGCCCAATATCCCCTCAGTCTTCTATTCATACCTTTGTTGCTCTTTCCTGTCCAGACTGAGCTGCTAGTTTGACAGATCCATTCTGTTTGTGGGACTGCAAACATTACGCAGTGTCCTGCTCTTCTGTGCTTCTTTATAGAAAGAAAAGGGACACTAAGATGGTGAGTTACTGGGCAGTTATTTTTAAGAGATACATTTTCTTAGTTTAAATGAATTGATTGTACCCTTTAGAACAATGGGTGCATTGCCTGTATAGACATATTTGCGTTATGTAGGCATCTTTAGTCTGCCAACTCTTTCTTTCACCTTTCTCCATCCCTAAGAGTCAATGGGAAATGCATGTGGCAGAAGAGAAAACCCCTGATTACAGCTAATGTCCCTCAGCATTTACAAGTGAAAGGAATGAGGCCCATGGCATTAGTGATGGGATTTAAATGGATTTAGGAACTGGGGCTGAAATAGGAGCCTAATTAGAAGATTCCAGGGTCATCATGTCAGTCTTCACCTGTCCACCATCAGACAGGCTGTCCACAGCTCTCACTTCAAAGACTCAGCCTGTTTGTCTCATCTCTATTTCTTGTTCCTCTACTCTGGAGGGAAAAGTTGCCTTGGCTGTGACTTGTAGCCTAATGTACCTCCAGCTGGATACAGATTGTGGGTGAAGGTTCAGCTTATATCTGGCCTCAGATAAAGGCTACTAAAAACATAGTACATACATTTAATTATTTCCTTTTAAAGGGATGAGGAAAAATGCATTGGATAGAAAGTTTGTGCTAGGGTTCTCTCTCTGTGTGTGTCTGTCTATCTCTGTCTTTGTCTCTCTGTCTCTGTCTGTCTGTCTCTGTCTGTCTGTCTGTCTGTCTGTCTCTCTCTCTCTCTCTCTCTCTGTGTTTTATGTGAGTGCAGAGATTATAGGACAGCTTTAGGTGTCATTCTGCAGGAGCCATCCACCTTTTGAGCCAAGGTCTTTATTGACCTGAAACCCACTGATTCAGCTGGACTGACTGGCCAACAAGCCTCAGGGATTTGCCTTTTCCTATCTTCCCATTGCCAGGATTACTAGTGAGTGCCACCACACCCTGTCTTCCTCCTCCTCCTTCTCCTCCATCTTCACTTTGTCATCATTGGTCATTATCTTTGTTGCGCCATCATTGTCTTCATCTTCTAAATTGAATTCTATCGGTTGAACTCAGGTCCTCATGCCTACAAACACTTTATTCAATGAGCTATCCTACCAACGCCACGTTATCTTAGTTTTAACTGCCCCTTGAAAAATAAGAAGGAAGGACATGGATAAGTAATAAAAAGACTTTTTTCCCTATGGGTGAGATATTATGATGACTCCTTTCTGCCTATGCTTGGGACCCACATTGTTGAATGCTATCCTCTTTCTTCCCAGCTAGTCCCCTTTGGCAGGACATACATGGCTCATTCCCATCTTTAACCTACTTGGTTACCTATGTGGGGCTAGTCCTGAACACTCAGCACCTAGAGTGGTGGTGTTTAAAGTCACCTGGGGAAACTGAGGAAAGGTTAGGATCTAATTAAGTTGATCGCCCAGAGTCAGTTGCTGTCACTGCACCACAAGCTGGCACACTCAGTGTCTCTGTAGGCTGTGGCATCCCAGGTCACAGAGTGTTTTGCAGCAGGCCCCCTCCTTCCCTTTGTCCCTGACCATCTATGGGCACGTGTACAGAGCTATTACTGGATTTGGAGAGTCAGGGATGGTGGGAAAGAACACAGAGAAGAGATAGAATTTGGATGACAAGAGTCGAATACTGTGTGAGGTTTCTACACCTGGAATTGGAGTCTTGTGTTCTTTGTGGAGTCTAGACCATTGTTTTCATCACTTGAATGAGTATTTTGGGAGGCAATACTCAAAGGTGATTCCATCAGATTGAGTTTTAATTAAGACCCACCACCCCCACCCACACACTCTGAATTAGCTTTCAGATAAATTTATTTTTATGTCAGTAACTCATCCACATTTGTTTCAAACTTTGGTGCAATGTTAGCTCAAGAAATTTCTTTAAATAATCCAGATTTTGAAATTGCCACCACAGGATCCCTTTTTCTTTATTTGTAACGAAGAATCCCTGTTTCACCTTAAAGGTAAATAGCATCTAATTTCTAAAATATCTCCAGATATAAAAACTATTTTAAATAGCTTAATACCCTGAAGGAGGAAAAATCGCTAAGCAACCATGTGCTTCAAACCTGCATGCCATCAGTCCATGAGGCAGGTAAGACAATGCCTTCTCATGGTGGCATGCTTATGATAGGCCAGCGCCCTGGGAAAGTGAGAGTCCTCTGGACACGCTACCCTGTGACACAGCCTGTGCAGTATAGAGCTTGCTCTGCACTGTCATCTCATCTTCCATTGAGTATCACAAGTTGTTGGCTTCAGGTGTGTCCATGCCTAAATTTAAACAGATAACAGGAGAGAGCTATGTGACCTTTCAAATGAACACCATCTGCGAGGTCATACATGTGCATAGAGATAAAAGGAGATTGAATTCTGGGGGCAGCACACACTGATTTAACGTGACAGTGTAAGTGACATATTGTAGGGCTGGTATATTCATAAGCTAGAGTGGTTTCTGCTGTTAATTGCAATTGAAGGTGTAATATTCTGAGTCAAATATTACAGGGTTACTAAGTGCTTCCTTGGAATTCTCATGCCAGGAAACTGTACTGTAGGCAGAGTCTCATGTTCAACAGGCCTGGCTTCCCAGCCACTGAGCTGCTGCCATATTAAAACTTACTCTGGTGGTAGCAAGTCCTTCTGTGGTCCTCTCTCTACAGGTTTGAACTTCACTTGGACTTATCCTTGCTAATTCTCAGAGTGAAGGGCCAACATTTCAGCTTTGGTTCAAGGTCTCCATCTGTCCTGTTGCTCCCGATCATGCAACAAACAAAATTCACTCTCATTGGATTTTTGTTTTGATCACTGGTGTTTGCTTTCTCTTCATCCCAAATCCCTGCGTCTCTTCATGTCTAAGGTCAAGACTTTCTAAATGACCATCCTTGTTCATCTTATCTATTCATAATGGCCATTTATTACAGAATCATAATTATATATGTATATTATAGATACATTATATCAATAATGGTGAATAAAGAGCATAAAAGAGCATTTAATAACATGCTTCTCATTATTTTGGGTGGAAAAGCAATTTAAAAATTACTATGGTTCTATTTTTTGTGAAGAAAAAATACATAGTACAAAAAATAAAAAATAAATATTTAAGCAACCACAAAATGTTACTAGTGTGTGCTACTGGAGGGGAAGCTTACTTATTTACTAGTATTTTATGAGCTTGGGCAGGTAATGTGTTTTTATTTACTAATAAACACAGATTAATAAAACACATCTAAGTCAGGGTATTTTACTCCAGTCTTAAGTAGAATGTTGGAACTCCACACTCTTTCAGTTAGCTTTTACTATAACTTACATATCTAGGTATTTTAGAAAACATGTTAATGTGTGTATGAGGCTTGAGGTCTAGCATGATGTATCTTTGGCTCTGCTGTGTATTAACATGAATGCATTCTCAAAGAAGGGTGGCCACTGTTCCTGGTGAATATATCATGCACAGGAAATGACCTCTTGGTCTATGCTGTCACTGTGGAGTCCTCATATCTTGCTTTGTGGTTTGTTTCTCCATATGCACTCTTCTCAGCACAAAGAGGATGATTTTGCGACCCACAGAAACCATTTTAAAGTGTGGATTAGACAATTCTCCTTGACACTGCTTCCCTAATTTAGTGTGAAGTGGAATTAAACAGTAGAAATGGAGGAATTTACTTGGAAATATCAAAATAAGAGGGGAATTGTTTGGTCGTACAGTAAACTCGAAAAGGGCTAAAGGAGAGGATTGAAGACAATTAGGAGGCATGCTTGTTGTTTTTAAGTGATATGTGAGCCTAGGGAGTGCAACAGCTGTGTTGTTGTTTTGTTTCTTGTGCCAACTTTCTTGGTTTGATTGATTTTTTTCTCTCTGACAGCTCACTGTGCTGATAAATGTGTCCATGGTCGCTGCATTGCTCCAAACACCTGTCAGTGTGAGCCTGGCTGGGGTGGGACCAACTGCTCCAGTGGTAAGTTCACATCTGCTATTGTCTGTCTCCGGGTGTTGTTGTAAGGGCTCCTTGTCTGTGGGTAACTCCAAGCCAAAGTTTCTGTCTCCATCCCAAGCAGAGGGTAGTGCGGACTGCACATCTAACTCATTCATACTGTTCCTCCTAACTCTATGCACGTGTCATGGGGAGCACTGCTGATAAATGAATAGAGAGAAAAATTCTTAGAAAGGAGAGTTGGGCAATCCAATACCCACACCTCTGGCAGAATCAGAGTAGGATCCAGAGTTTAGTATCTTCACTGAAGGAAGACCATTGTGGTAACATGGCTAGGGTGGTCTTAACGTCTATTTTTAACTTGTGTCACATGTTGAATTTAATTCAGAAGTAGAATGGTGTAATGCTTGCATGTCCTTTTGCCTCTGAACTCGGAGATGAAAATGATGAGTACATGCTCAGATAACTTCAGGGAGATAAATCTGCAATAAAAATTCATGAACATTTTGATGATTGTTTAACCAAACTACAACACACCGTATGACTATCTTCATTATGAGTGAGTTACAATTCTAAAATGATGATTTCTATATTCTAAAAAGGTTGTACTCAAGGATGGTGAAGTTGGAATGATGACTGTCATGGAACACAGTTAGTTCATGCATTTTGCAGCTCCAATTTCAGTGTTCTGGCAACTTGTTGCTGCATGCAAAATTGTGCCTTTTTCTTTATGACCTTAAAAGTATGAGAGGAAATGGAAATATAATACTATATTTCAATGAATAAATCATTAAGCTCATACAAAAGAAATAATTGTTTTCCAAAATTGAGCCAGTTCCTCTGACAGCCCAAAGAGTGTCCAGTGCTGTCAACTGCATATTTTTGGGACTAAGCTAAGAAAATTTTAAATTGTCCAGATAAACTGGCTTCTAAGACTTTTACTTGCTTTCTTCGGATTTGGGAAGATTCTTTCTTATTTTGCTAAGAACACCTTCAGACTTAGAATTTCTTGGCTGCCCCCGAAGCTGCATCACCCAGGGGCAGACTTTGTGCACAGAACATTCAGTGTCAAGAGCCTACTTATTGTGACTGTGAGGTGTGTGTCTATCAGAGTGTGAGAGCATATATGAATGTGTGAGTATGTGTGTGTGAGTGTGTAAGGGCATATGTGTGTGTGTGTGTTTGTATGAGAGTGTGAGAGCACATGTGAATCTCTTGGTATGTGTTTGAGAGTGTGAGGTATATGTGAATGTGTGTGTGTAAGAGAGTGTGAAAGTATATGTGAATGGGTGCGTGTGTGAGTATGAGTGTGTGTGTATGAGAATGTGAAGGCATATGTGGTGTGTATGTGTGTTGTGTGTATAAGGGTTTGAGGACATATGTGAGTGAGTGTGTATGTGGGGGGGCATATGTGAATATGTGAAAGTCTGTTTCTGTTAGGCACCTTTATTCCAGTGGGTAACTGTGTTTTGTTTTGTTTCACTTCTGTTGGAGAGCAGGGAGTGGGGTGGGCAATTTGTTCACATTCTGTCAAGGCAGAATGTTTGGGATGTGGGGTTTGGCTTGTGTCCATTTTCTTGGCTGACTGACCACAAATACAACAATGCTTTAATTAACTTCTCTAACTTTAAAACCAGTTGTACATAGACATTTGAAGAAAATAATATTGTAAAGTGGGAAAGGGGAAAATGGATGAATTATTTGAAAATGGGTTTCTTACTCATTTTGGGGCAAGAGGCTGTAGAATGATTTCAGCTGTAGTCATACTTTGTCTCCTAAAAATTAGAGACCACCTAAAGGCTCAGACTAGAGGGCATTTGTGAACAAAACAAAAGCCTACAAGGACTTTAGACTCTTTAAAGCTGATGTGAACCTTTGAGAAAGTAAAGGGTTGCTCTCTGTGTTAGAGTTTTCTGACTTCTAAGAAGACTCCAATATTCTGAGATTATATGTTCTAACAACAATAGAATATGATAAGTAAGCAACTTTTAGTTAATTCTCTACAATTCATGTTTGGGCTTTGTAACAAATAAAAGTATAAATAAGCATGAACTAATTTCTGAAGTCTTTAAAGATGTTCCAATAATGACAGTCCTGACCCTTTTTCAACCCACACCATAAAGAGGTGTGTACTGCTCTGCCAGAAGGCAGCAGTTTGGTTTCTAGAACCCATCTTACTACCAATAACTACAGATCCAGGGGATCTGATGTCCTCTTGTGGCCTCGATGGACATCTGCACTACAAAGCACAAACCCCAGACACGCCCGCATACACATACATCCTGAGGTGAGAAGAGCATGCTGATTCTGAAGTCTATGTGTGACAAAACCCCAGGACAAAAGACTGGGGCCTGGATAGCCTCAGAATCCTTAAATAGCCAGTGAGTTTGGCAGGTCTGAGAAACTGACCTTAGCGCATTGGTATCAAGCAAATCCGAGATGTCCCTTGTCACTCTCCTTGTCTCCCATGTGTCTTAAGAGAAATAAAAAGATAGCGGCGTGTGATGGTGATGGGTTTTAGCGGCGTGTGATGGTGATGGATTTTAGCGGCGTGTGATGGTGATGGGTTTTTGTCCTCTTTCTGCTCTGAATTCTCCTAGCATCGCATGTCACATTGCACTTTGTTGTCAGATCTCCCTTCTTTCTTCTGTCTGTGTGCATTTCTTGGTCTTTCCTTGTTTGTATAGAGGAGGATAAGGAGAATCCCATAGGATATCCGGTCCCCTGTCTATGTCCCTGATGTTTCGTCACACATAAGTGTAGTACATTCAACGCTGTGCATTGAGAAGTGCCATACCACCATTCTGTGACACAAGGGAAGTTGTCGGCTGTTATCAGTGTCCCGCAGGCTCTCGATGCCAGAGAAGCTGCCCACGCTATAAGAGCTTATTGTTGCTGAAGCCCCATTGACTCTGAAGGAGATGCAGGTACTAGAGTTGTCACTGAGGGGGTCAGCTGAGCTAACACCCTGGGGCCAAGAGCCAAAGCCTCCTTCCCTTTGGCAGTGTCTCTCCAGTGCCCTCTCCTGAAAATGCTTAATATTCCACCGCAGGGCAAAGGAAAAGCAGTTAAAAGACTCATGCAGAGATATATTTCCTGTCACGCCTTCAGACTCACACCTGCTTTTGTGGAACAGACAGCGAGGGATACATTTTACATGGAGAGACGATTCATTGGCGACTCCTTGGTTTACTCAGTTACTGTATTCCCTGTTCTGCACACTTGAATTCCTCTATAGCAACACAATGGTTCCGTCCTCCCTCCTAATTTGACAGAGCCCCCATTTCACAAACGAGAATGTCTCCACTTCCTTCTCCAAGGAAAGAGTGTTGTGTCCGTTGCTACTTCCCCTGCACCTTTCCAAAGTTAGACACAGCTCTGCCGAGTGTCCCCTAACTACAGTTAACTTGCAGCACTTTGTACCCAAAACAATGGATAGCTTGAAAATAGACATGTGGACAGGGACATGGCAAACAGAAAATGCGGAAAGCTGTTGCACTTTTTTTTTCAGCAGTTGGCCACATAGCCCCAGGTATGGTGTCCTCTCCTGTCCCTTGTCTCCGTCTCCCTCAACCACAACCTCAACTGCTTGTGGTTAGTTACCTGGAGGAATGGCTCAAGGTTTTATTGCTGGCAGGGTTGTGTTCCCTTTTGTCCTCTACCCCCCATTTGGTTGCTGTCATTTTCTATTACTCTTTACCACTAGGCATGGGTGCTTGAGAAATGCTCTACTCATTCCAGAGAAACTACCTGCAGACTCTGTGTCTAACGGAAATCCAGTTTCCCCTTTGATGGCTAGGGTCAGGTAACAATGAATTAATAACTATCACACACAGATATCTTTTTATTTTCATCCCCAAAGACAAAGGAAACTAAGAGATTGACATATCCAAATGGGAGGTTTTCAAATCCCTGCCTGAGATTTGATAGGGCTACTGGCCACGTCAGTAGAAGGCGGCCTTCACCTCTGAGAGGCAGTCAGTGTTTGTCCAGCTCCCAATACAGGCAAGTCAGAGGTCGGTACAAAGTTGGTTTCCTCCAAATGAAATCATGATTTATTTGACTAGATTCTGACATACAGCTTCTTTTAAAACTTGATTAAAATGACTTTTTTTGAAAAAGCCCACACATATTTCTCTTCTATTGGCATCCAAATGTGAACCCCTTGCCTATATGACTGAGTGATACTAATCCATTTTACCTGCCTCCACCTTCCCTCTCCTCTTTCCTTTCCCCATCAATTTCTCCATCCTAGGATCAATCCTCTGTTCCTCCTCCCCTCCCACCGGGTGGTAAGTTCTGAAGAGGTCCAGGTGTTATTAGTATGTTAATCTCCATTATACTTGGCATGTGGCTGAAACTGTGAGATGAATGAATTGGGTGATTCTGAGAAGGTCATTCATGTGCTCATTTTGATGACTTATTCTGAATGATTACAGTGAGCAGAGCACTGTACTGGATAATGGGGATAAAGGAAAATGATGCTGCATAATTACTGATCCCACAGACATCATGGCTTGGGAGAACGGTAAAATAATAGACCAAGGAAAGATGATTGGGGTTGGGTAAGGTAGGAGGATTCTGAAAGGACAAGGGTGGGGGAATTAAAAGCTTTACCAGGAACAGAGAGCAGATTGCCATAGAACATGAGAGGATGACTGGATATAAAACTATTCTTCCAGAAACTTCCCCGAGAAGCCATAGAGAAGATGCAAAGGAATGAAGAAGTAATTTTAAGTTCAAGAAGAGGCTTTGTTGACTTTCTCAGGGATTTTGAGGCTGGAGATTAGTTGGGGGAAGATAACTCCAGATGGCAGTTAGGACTGAAACGGATCCATCTCTGGTGTGTGTGTGTGTGTGTGTGTGTGTGTGTGTGTGTCTGTGTCTGTGTCTGTGTCTGTGTCTGTGTCTGTGTCTGTATCTGTGCACACCTGTGACTACATGTACCACCAGACTGGAGTTACAGGTAGCTGTGAACCACCTGTCGTGGGTGCTGAGAACTGAACTTAAGACCTTACCAAGGG